AGAAAAAAAAGGAAATATCTGTAAAAATATAGAATATACAGAATCAGATAGAAAATCATATGGAAATACAATACCATCAGAAGTTAAATCACTTGGATATCAGTGTTTTAGATATTGTTATGAATTAACATCAATTAATATTCCATCATCAATTAATGAAATAGGATATGGATGTTTTTATGAATGTACATCACTAACATCAATAACTATACCATCATCAATTATTGAAATAGGACCTGATTGTTTTTCTGGATGTTCATCATTAACAACAATTAATATAAATAATCTACAATTTATTAGTGAAAAAAGAATATTTATGAATGAACCAGTGTTAATTAGTTTTGAAATACCAGAAAATCTACAAATAATAAATGGAAAGAATATTGAAAATAAAGATATTAATAAATTTATTATTCCATCTTCAATTACTAAATTAGGATATGATTGTTTTAAAGAATGTACATCATTAATATCAATTAATATACCATCATCAATTAATGAAATAGGAAATGATTGTTTTTATAAATGCTCATCATTAAAATCAATTAATATACCATCATCAATTAATGAATTAGGGGATGCGTGTTTTTATAAATGTAAATCATTAACATCAGTTACTATTCCATCTTCAATTACTAAATTAGGAATTTGTTGTTTTAGAAGATGTAAATCATTACAATCAATTAATATTCCATCATCAATTACATCATTTGGAGATGGTTGTTTTGATGGATGTACATCATTAACATCAATTAATATACCATCATCAATTACTAAATTAGGAATTTGTTGTTTTAGAAGATGTAAATCATTACAATCAATTAATATACCGTCGTCAATTAGTAAATTAAGAGATGAATCTTTTTATGAATGTTCATCATCAAAATCAATTAATATACCATCATCAATTACATCATTTGGAAAATCTTGTTTTTATAAATGTGGATGTAAAGAAGAATTAAAGAAAAATAAAAGAATACCAAGAAATTGTTTTGAATGGTGGTGAATGAAATAAAAGGACAATAAATGAAATACAATATAAATTGAAGTAGAAATAAATTATAATTGATTATCATTTATATTATTATTATTCTTTTCTTATTTATTCTTTTTGATATTATTCTTTTTTATTGACTTAAAATATTTATTATTATTTATTGTATATGTTTATTATTTCTTATATCTTCTATTTTATCATATTTATTTATTATCTTTTATATCTTTTTTATTATTTTATTATTGTTTATTATTCTTATATTCTATATTTTAAATTATGATTTTCTATTATTAAATATAAATTAAATGAATTTGATATTATAGATAAATAAATATCAATTTTATTAATCTATTTGTATTTATATAATATAAATATCAATAAAAATAAATTATAAGTTAAATTAAATGAAATATGAATATGAATAATATTAATAAGAAATGAAATAATTAAATAATAAGAATATATTTAAAATATAAATATCAAATACATGAATAAAATAAATAAAATAAATAATAAAATATAAATCAAAATAAATAAATAAAATAATGAATAATAATCAAATACTAAAATATGAATATGTATTTAATCAAATATATAAACATATATTAATTACATATTTTAATAAATTTAATGAAAATTGATTTTAATATATATCATAAATATATATTAATATTAATATATTCTTATATTAAATTATTGATTTATTTATTAATATATAAATAAATGAATAGAATTAATATTTATATTATATTTTATATTATAATATGTTGATTAAAAAATAAATATGTATTTTATAAATGAATATATTTCATTTAATTATTTTATTATTATTTCTTA